GGGACACTCTCTCCCATCCAAAGGGGGGAGGGGACACACTCTCCCATCCAAAGGGGGGAGGGGACACACTCTCCCATCCAAAGGGGGGAGGGGACACACTCTCCCATCCAAAGGGGGGAGGGGACACACTCTCCCATCCAAAGGGGGGAGGGGACACTCTCTCCCATCCAAAGGGGGGAGGGGACACTCTCTCCCATCCAAAGGGGGGAGGGGACACATCCAAAGGGGGGAGGGGACACTCTCCCATCCAAAGGGGGGAGGGGACACTCTCTCCCATCCAAAGGGGGGAGGGGACACTCTCTCCCATCCAAAGGGGGGAGGGGACACTCTCTCCCATCCAAAGGGGGGAGGGGACACTCTCTCCCATCCAAAGGGGGGAGGGGACACTCTCTCCCATCCAAAGGGGGGAGGGGACACTCTCTCCCATCCAAAGGGGGGAGGGGACACTCTCTCCCATCCAAAGGGGGGAGGGGACACTCTCTCCCATCCAAAGGGGGGAGGGGACACTCTCTCCCATCCAAAGGGGGGAGGGGACACTCTCTCCCATCCAAAGGGGGGAGGGGACACTCTCTCCCATCCAAAGGGGGGAGGGGACACTCTCTCCCATCCAAAGGGGGGAGGGGACACTCTCTCCCATCCAAAGGGGGGAGGGGACACTCTCTCCCATCCAAAGGGGGGAGGGGACACTCTCTCCCATCCAAAGGGGGGAGGGGACACTCTCTCCCATCCAAAGGGGGGAGGGGACACTCTCTCCCATCCAAAGGGGGGAGGGGACACTCTCTCCCATCCAAAGGGGGGAGGGGACACTCTCTCCCATCCAAAGGGGGGAGGGGACACTCTCTCCCATCCAAAGGGGGGAGGGGACACTCTCTCCCATCCAAAGGGGGGAGGGGACACTCTCTCCCATCCAAAGGGGGGAGGGGACACTCTCTCCCATCCAAAGGGGGGAGGGGACACTCTCTCCCATCCAAAGGGGGGAGGGGACACTCTCTCCCATCCAAAGGGGGGAGGGGACACTCTCTCCCATCCAAAGGGGGGAGGGGACACTCTCTCCCATCCAAAGGGGGGAGGGGACACTCTCTCCCTCCCACTCTCTCCCAAAGGGGGGAGGGGACACTCTCTCCCATCCAAAGGGGGGAGGGGACACTCTCTCCCATCCAAAGGGGGGAGGGGACACTCTCTCCCATCCAAAGGGGGGAGGGGACACTCTCTCCCATCCAAAGGGGGGAGGGGACACTCTCTCCCATCCAAAGGGGGGAGGGGACACTCTCTCCCATCCAAAGGGGGGGGGGAGGGGACACTCTCTCCCATCCAAAGGGGGGAGGGGACACTCTCTCCCATCCAAAGGGGGGAGGGGACACTCTCTCCCATCCAAAGGGGGGAGGGGACACTCTCTCCCATCCAAAGGGGGGAGGGGACACTCTCTCCCATCCAAAGGGGGGAGGGGACACTCTCTCCCATCCAAAGGGGGGAGGGGACACTCTCTCCCATCCAAAGGGGGGAGGGGACACTCTCTCCCATCCAAAGGGGGGAGGGGACACTCCAAAGGGGGGAGGGGACACTCTCCCATCCAAAGGGGGGAGGGGACACTCTCTCCCATCCAAAGGGGGGAGGGGACACTCTCTCCCATCCAAAGGGGGGAGGGGACACTCTCTCCCATCCAAAGGGGGGAGGGGACACTCTCTCCCATCCAAAGGGGGGAGGGGACACTCTCTCCCATCCAAAGGGGGGAGGGGACACTCTCTCCCATCCAAAGGGGGGAGGGGACACTCTCTCCCATCCAAAGGGGGGAGGGGACACTCTCTCCCATCCAAAGGGGGGAGGGGACACTCTCTCCCATCCAAAGGGGGGAGGGGACACTCTCTCCCATCCAAAGGGGGGAGGGGACACTCTCTCCCATCCAAAGGGGGGAGGGGACACTCTCTCCCATCCAAAGGGGGGAGGGGACACTCTCTCCCATCCAAAGGGGGGAGGGGACACTCTCTCCCATCCAAAGGGGGGAGGGGACACTCTCTCCCATCCAAAGGGGGGAGGGGACACTCTCTCCCATCCAAAGGGGGGAGGGGACACTCTCTCCCATCCAAGGGGGGAGGGGACACTCTCTCCCATCCAAAGGGGGGAGGGGACACTCTCTCCCATCCAAAGGGGGGAGGGGACACTCTCTCCCATCCAAAGGGGGGAGGGGACACTCTCTCCCATCCAAAGGGGGGAGGGGACACTCTCTCCCATCCAAAGGGGGGAGGGGACACTCTCTCCCATCCAAAGGGGGGAGGGGACACTCTCTCCCATCCAAAGGGGGGAGGGGACACTCTCTCCCATCCAAAGGGGGGGGGACACTCTCTCCCATCCAAAGGGGGGAGGGGACACTCTCTCCCATCCAAAGGGGGGAGGGGACACACTCTCTCCCATCCAAAGGGGGGAGGGGACACACTCTCCCATCCAAAGGGGGGAGGGGACACACTCTCCCATCCAAAGGGGGGAGGGGACACACTCTCCCATCCAAAGGGGGGAGGGGACACACTCTCCCATCCAAAGGGGGGAGGGGACACACTCTCCCATCCAAAGGGGGGAGGGGACACACTCTCCCATCCAAAGGGGGGAGGGGACACACTCTCCCATCCAAAGGGGGGAGGGGACACACTCTCCCATCCAAAGGGGGGAGGGGACACACTCTCCCATCCAAAGGGGGGAGGGGACACACTCTCCCATCCAAAGGGGGGAGGGGACACACTCTCCCATCCAAAGGGGGGAGGGGACACACTCTCCCATCCAAAGGGGGGAGGGGACACACTCTCCCATCCAAAGGGGGGAGGGGACACACTCTCCCATCCAAAGGGGGGAGGGGACACACTCTCCCATCCAAAGGGGGGAGGGGACACACTCTCCCATCCAAAGGGGGGAGGGGACACACTCTCCCATCCAAAGGGGGGAGGGGACACACTCTCCCATCCAAAGGGGGGAGGGGACACACTCTCCCATCCAAAGGGGGAGGGGACACACTCTCCCATCCAAAGGGGGGAGGGGACACACTCTCCCATCCAAAGGGGGGAGGGGACACACTCTCCCATCCAAAGGGGGGAGGGGACACACTCTCCCATCCAAAGGGGGGAGGGGACACACTCTCCCATCCAAAGGGGGGAGGGGACACACTCTCCCATCCAAAGGGGGGAGGGGACACACTCTCCCATCCAAAGGGGGGAGGGGACACACTCTCCCATCCAAAGGGGGGAGGGGACACACTCTCCCATCCAAAGGGGGGAGGGGACACACTCTCCCATCCAAAGGGGACACACTCTCCCATCCAAAGGGGGGAGGGGACACACTCTCCCATCCAAAGGGGGGAGGGGACACACTCTCCCATCCAAAAGGGGGGGGAGGGGACACACTCTCCCATCCAAAGGGGGGAGGGGACACACTCTCCCATCCAAAGGGGGGAGGGGACACACTCTCCCATCCAAAGGGGGGAGGGGACACACTCTCCCATCCAAAGGGGGGAGGGGACACACTCTCCCATCCAAAGGGGGGAGGGGACACACTCTCCCATCCAAAGGGGGGAGGGGACACACTCTCCCATCCAAAGGGGGGAGGGGACACACTCTCCCATCCAAAGGGGGGAGGGGACACACTCTCCCATCCAAAGGGGGGAGGGGACACACTCTCCCATCCAAAGGGGGGAGGGGACACACTCTCCCATCCAAAGGGGGGAGGGGACACACTCTCCCATCCAAAGGGGGGAGGGGACACACTCTCCCATCCAAAGGGGGGAGGGGACACACTCTCCCATCCAAAGGGGGGAGGGGACACACTCTCCCATCCAAAGGGGGGAGGGGACACACTCTCCCATCCAAAGGGGGGAGGGGACACACTCTCCCATCCAAAGGGGGGAGGGGACACACTCTCCCATCCAAAGGGGGGAGGGGACACACTCTCCCATCCAAAGGGGGGAGGGGACACACTCTCCCATCCAAAGGGGGGAGGGGACACACTCTCCCATCCAAAGGGGGAGGGGACACACTCTCCCATCCAAAGGGGGGAGGGGACACACTCTCCCATCCAAAGGGGGGAGGGGACACACTCTCCCATCCAAAGGGGGGAGGGGACACACTCTCCCATCCAAAGGGGGGAGGGGACACACTCTCCCATCCAAAGGGGGGAGGGGACACACTCTCCCATCCAAAGGGGGGAGGGGACACACTCTCCCATCCAAAAGGGGGGGGGAGGGGACACACTCTCCCATCCAAAGGGGGGAGGGGACACACTCTCCCATCCAAAGGGGGGAGGGGACACACTCTCCCATCCAAAGGGGGGAGGGGACACACTCTCCCATCCAAAGGGGGGAGGGGACACACTCTCCCATCCAAAGGGGGGAGGGGACACACTCTCCCATCCAAAGGGGGGAGGGGACACACTCTCCCATCCAAAGGGGGGAGGGGACACACTCTCCCATCCAAAGGGGGGAGGGGACACACTCTCCCATCCAAAGGGGGGGCAGGGGACACACTCTCCCATCCAAAGGGGGGGCAGGGGACACTCTAGCCCATCCAAAGGGGGGGCAGGGGACACTACCATCCAGGGGACCCATTCCACAAGAGTCCATCATGGGTGCCTACAGGTACACATACTGTCTGGTACAGCCCCCCATGGAGCAACAGGTACACGTATGGTGCAGTAAAGCCTGCGGTTAGCTACAGCTAGATGTACACGTTCGGTGCGGTACAGCCTCCAGGCCGCTACAGCTAGGCAGGTACACTTACCGTGTGGTTCAATCTCCAGGAAACTGCAGCTAAAGAGGTACACTTAGGGTGCGGTACAGCCTGCAGGCAGCTAGAGGGACACTTACTCTAGAGGTACAGCCTGCAGGCAGCTAGAGGGACACTTACTCTAGAGGTACAGCCTGCAGGCAGCTAGAGGGACACTTACTCTAGAGGTACAGCCTGCAGGCAGCTAGAGGGACACTTACTCTAGAGGTACAGCCTGCAGGCAGCTAGAGGGACACTTACTCTAGAGGTAGAGAAGAAGCGACATGCAGCTGGAGCAAGAGCGAGGCCAGGGGGCTCCATAGCCCTACAGTAGAGGGCACGAGGCATGCACTGAAGGTGGGCACGAAGAGGGGCAGCGTGGCCGTGCCCGAGGGCCAGACACAGGCACGGCCAGCCCAGGGGCACGGCTCGACGCAGTACGGCTCGACCAACCTGATCCATGACGTGTGAGGTGGGTGTGTGGGGAGCCTACCAGCAGGCCAGCGCCAGGAGCCTGATAGTACGCCTGCAGGAGGAGGGCTTAGTGGGGCCGGACAGTTAGTACACACAGGTCAGTCTGGCCAGCCACCCGGCCACTGCCGAATTGGACAAACACGTGTAGAAATGGTAAGCAAGATATATATATACTTAAATAGTTATTCTGAACTGTTTGTATTATGACCGATAGTCTTGTATAGTCGCCGCACTCTAAACCCGCGTAACGGACGGTGGCGTGTGACCGGCCAGAGGTGCGAGTGATGACTGAAGGAGCAGCCGCGCAACACTCCCCTCGACCTCCCTAGTGTGACTGAGGCTCCTCGCCCCTGCCGGCCGCACGACCCACGCACCGATCCTCCAACCTTGCCAGGTACCACCACTCGTATAATCTATACCAACCTTGCATATTTACATTTCATACAGGAGCACTTAACGTATTAACATAGACACTAAAACTCATCTTAGAACTTATTTGCTTATTTAATAAGTCATCAATCGTACTCAGTAGTATAAGAAGATACATGGTCGACAGCATCATTCTGTAGCCCAAGCTGTTGTACAGCACTGGCATCGCCTGTTGAACGCTGGCAACGCACTATATATTCTGCAACGCGCCAAAATAATGAGGTTCCCCCAACTGACTGACAGACAGGTCAGGTCAAAGACAAAAGTAAGGAGCGCAAGAAATACAGGCTTCAGTGATAAGAACCGATTCTTAATTCTAATCAATTTTGTTAACCATAACCTCGTAAATGACCTATGAAGAAATCTAATAAGACTGACAGAAGATGTACACAAATTAGATTAAATAAAAGATGTACATCTATAATGTACATAAATTAGACTAAAAGAATTCTGTAAAGGTTATAACAAGCACCCTTCCTTAATTACACATACTCTTTCTTTTACTTAATGTAATAAATTCCATAAGATCATTAATTGGTATCAAAATGCTTAGGCTAATAATACATCATCCTTCCGATGATGTATTATTAAATACGAAAGTACTTAAGGAAATTCCTGTTTTAATTCTTTCTTTGTGGTCTGACACTGTCACATTTTTCATCACGTGTAAATGTTCGTGATTTACACACACACACACACACACACAGGAGGTGTGTGTGTGTGTGAGAGAGATCAAGAGACACCTGCTAGATCTGGATGTTAGAAAGGCTGTTGGTCCAGACGGGATCTCGCCATGGGTACTGAAAGAGTGTGCAGAGGCACTTTGCTTGCCACTCTCCATAGTGTATAGTAGGTCACAGGAGACGGGAGACCTACCAGAAATATGGAAGACAGCGAATGTGGTCCCAATATACAAAAAGGGCGACAGGCAAGAGGCACTGAACTACAGGCCAGTGTCCTTGACTTTTTATTATTATTATTATTATTATTTTCTACCACAAACGTGGCCACATATTTACAATGCTAACCAATATATATACATTTTCTTCTGTCCTCCATGGACAGGGTTAGAGATCAGTTAAACATATAGTTCAGGGATTTATTGAACAATCAACCACAGAAGGTGATTCGGTACTTTTAAAATGCTAAGCTAACCTACATACGTAAATACATAGATACACAGATTTACGTATGCCCTACATAAAGTGTTCAAAGTGTCATTAATGTGCATTTACAAAGGTGAAATGCAATTCTGATCAGCTTCCATATGTACCTTATACACATATACATACACGCACATATATACGTACATATACATATATACACACATGCATTCACATACATTTGTCTCTTTTACTCTGACAGGGTGAGATAGCTGACAGAGAAACTAGTGTGCAATTAATCACTTAATCACTGAAGGTGATTAAGTTGCTTTTACAAGCTCAGGTTATATAGTTACATCACATACATACATTGTATAAATGATATATTACATGGTCAATCTTGGATACAAGTCCAATATATCATCAAGTGTTCCAGTACTCATATAGTAATTACACAGTTCAGCATATCTTAGCCCAGGAGGGCGAAAGTCGGTCAATATGGGACATTCTACAATATAATGTTCAAGTGAGTGCATGTTTTCTCTTTTACAGAGTTGACACATTGTGTACTGGACATTTGGGTTTTGAGAAAGCTGCCAGATAATATATGGGGATGGAGGAGAAGGGAGGGCTTAGGGGGGTGGAGGAGAAGGGAGGGCTTGGGAGAATTGAGGAGAAGGAGGGCTTAGGGGAAAAGAAATGGCTAGGGGGGGAGAAGGAATGGCTTTGGGGGTGAGGGAGAAGGGAGGGCATTGGGGGGGAGAAGGGAAGGCTTGGGGGAGATAGGTGGGCTGGGGGAGAAGGGATGACCTGGGGGGGGGAAGGGAGGGCTTGGAGAGTGGGGGAAAATGGAGAGCTTGGAGGTAGGGGGAGAAAGGAGGGCTATGGGGGTTAGAAGAAGAGATGGCTTAGGGGGCTTGGGGGAGACGGGAGGGCTAGAGGGGGAGAAGGGAGGGCTCTGGGGGGGGGTGGAGAAGGGAGGGGTATTGGTGGGTGGGGGAGACTATGCATGGAGTCGCCTTGACCACATCACTGCCAAATGCATTCCATTTGTTAACTACTCGACTACCCTACCGTGGCAGGGGTAAGGGGTCGTATATGGGATATCTGGGTTAGGGAAGCGAAGAGGAACATGGTTGGTGTGGTGTATGGGGTCATGGGGGTCAGGGAGTGGAGTGGGGTCCGGGGTCACAAACTGCATATCATGGTGTGGAGAATGTAAACAAACAGCTGCAGACGACGCCCAGAGCAGACGGACGCCCTCTCCTGCCCGCCCACCACCACTCGCCGCCAACACCTCCCATGCTGCTTGTAATTACACTCTATGTCTCTGTAAAACAAGAGTAAGTAATATTGATCCATTTTGTGAGGTGTGGCGAGCACTGAGGGTGTAGTAACCCCGGACGGTCACCTTGAGCTGCCTGCTGGGTCCCCACCTCTATACTCCCAGGTTAGTGAGCTCTCATCACGCGCCTCTAATACTCGTCTGGTGTTAACTACACTCATTTGGGGCTGGGCATGATGGGTTAGCCAAGTGGCGAGGTGTTCTCCCTCACTGTAATGCATCTGACCTGGAGAGAAAGTCTTGAGCATTCACACTAGTCTCCTCCAGCTGGTTAACTCAGAGAGGGAATTCTTATTTCATTAACTGTGTTAACTTGGTAGTAAAGTATATTATTATATTCGAGTGATTCCTGTCCACAGGCTACGAGAATAGCAGTCTATGGTTTGGTCACTATAGTTAATAGTGCCTTTCAGGATTAAATATTTAAATATTTCAGGATTTTCAAATACAGTAGTGCCGATTTGCTTTTCAGGATTTATGTCGTCTATTGAGTATACAGAAATGTGCCCTACATTTAGCAGTAGGGCACAGCCCTATAGATACATCTGGCTGTATCCAAGTATTTCTTAGGTCTTGTCACATCAACTGCACAGGTTCTTACTTTAAATTACTCCATATGTAAATATTGCGGCATAGATGAGAGAAGAACAACCATTATACATAATGTGTATTACAGTCGAGTATTGGCACATTTTAGGTTCACCACTTTCATTTTTGAAAAGGCCATTGGGCAGTGCTCTAATTTAGACTGCCCTATGTAACATGTGTACAGGTATTTATTCCAAAAGCACAAAAACAGAATACTACTAGAGGACTTCTTCATAGTAGGTGCAGTTTGCACGAAGGGTTTAAAATAGAATACAGTACATTACTTGGTTAATAATTTGTGATTAACTTGGTTATTAATAACTTAATAATGCTATGTCTCGTGCAGTACAGTCAGCTGCCAGCCTTGCTGTACTATGCATTACTGTAATATGTTAAGCAAGCAAAATTATTAATCAAAACTGGCCATTCACAGCTAGCCTTAAATTATCATTTAAATGAAAAGATGTATATTTTCATGGTACTTTATATAGAAATCGTAAGGCAAATCATTATTAGTAGTAGTACAGTATATAACTCATTAACAAAACTTGTATACCATATAGTTTACATGAGTATATGATATTTATTATCATGCATTTAAAAAGGCTGTAGTGATTAATATTATGTTTAGGAAAAGGCGGGCCAAAAGAGCAAAGCTCAACCCCCGCAAACACAACTAGGTGAATACACAATTTATTAGATGATCTTATGTTTGATTAGAAAAAAATGTTAATATAACGAATCCAATTCAGTACAGCATGTAATTAGATATTTAGACTTGATTCCAGTGATAGGTTAGTTATGTTAATGTGTATTAATTTGTACTGGTGCTGAACTAAAACTTCCTTTTGAAAGCTCTTTGTACCATAAATTTCCTGTAGACTTTGAAATAACTTTTTTTTATATTCAAGTATACTATCACTGAGTAGGAAAGATATCTAGCAGCATTATTAGTCAGGTTTAAGTAGTTAAAAAAAAATAATGTTAGCTCTTCATGAAAAGATGATGAGGAAACTTGAAAGTGGCCTTACTGTAACTAGCCTGGTGAAGAAGTGTGACATTGGTACCAGCACTATTTCTTATACAGTACAGTATCCGAAGACTGTTCATAATACTATATGCAAATTCCTTGTGCATTAAGAGGGGTTCATAATACTATATGCAAATTCCTTGTGCACTTGCTCACTAGAGGGGTTGCAAGGGACGTGGAGCTTTTCATCAAATAAGTACAAATAATTTGTTAGAGAAAATCCACTGAGGCTGTGAGGCGACACGAACCTGTGACCAACTCATTGCCAGCCTTTACCACACTCTACCTTTACTCTACCACATTACCACCTCTGACTTACAAAAAGCCTTACCACCGAATTTCTACTGAAATTTACTGAACTCCCCAGTGGATTTTCTCATTGATGTATATCACGATAGTGTGATTTTCTGTGATTAATTTTTGTCTAAAGAATTTTCTTTTTCATTCTTTTTTTCGTAAAGAATGTACAGTATAATGTTTGTCTGAATTCTACAACTGTATTACATTTTGGTTTTGATATTATTAATGTAGTAAAATATGAATACTGTAAATGTATTCTTTTTAATAATAATAATAATAATAATAATAATGGTTAAGCCTTTGTGACATCATTCAAGTGTTTCATTCAAAATTATACTGAACCAGTGCTCTTAATCAAGTATTCCAAATTTGGCTAATTATAAGTAATGCATGTGGATGATAGTAATGTAACACTGCTGAATACTGGATGGGCTTAGAGTACATGATAGGTCAGTAAAGGTTTGTTTTGCTAGTTCACGATAAATGTAAATTGCTTAGACTAAAGGCCATTAGAGCCCAGTGGCTGAACTTCAATGGCTATGTGACTAACCTTTCTGCCACCTACCCACAGGATGGGTATCAATAGTTTAATTTACTAATTAAACTATATCAATGCCAGATAAAATGGAAGTTCATATGTTCATATATCAGGATGGGGTCAGTTCCAATTAGTCCATTTGAGCAGGAGTACACAGTTCTTTTTTTCTTAAATACAGTACATACTTAATTGTTGATTGTTTAATATAACATAATGTGTATTTCTGTGCAGGTTGTACAAGATGGAGTTGGAATGTGCTGTGCAGAGGTATGCATGGGGTGTAAGAGGCTCAAAGAGCAGTGTTGCTCAGCTAGCTAAAACAATGCAACCAGATCTTGAGATTGCTGATGATGAACCTTATGCTGAACTGTGGATGGGCACACACCCGAGTGGCCCATCCATTATTAAAGGTATGGTGGAGTTCTAACAACTATGTTTGATAGCCGTTGAAGCACTTTTTACAGTATAGTTCTGATTAGTGTTATGAGCTTGGCATCAAGATTAATCATTATCTATATTAAAACAATTTTTATTAGTGTTATTTTCTGCATTTAACTTTAAATTAATGTAACACTACTAAGATCTGTATAGAACCATTCTATAAACAAAAATGTAGGAAAATTATATGGTTTTCAACATTCATTGAAGCAGCAGTAGGGGGAGACCCAGACATGCTTGATAACCTTCCTCTACCCAAGTATCCCAGAAACTATTGACATTATGCAGGTGCTGACTTTCAGCTGATGAACCATAACATGGCAGGAGTTAAGTCAAACTCAAGTCCCTGTGACTGAAGTGTTCTGATAGACAGTTTCTGGCCTTTCCCCTCAGTAGCCCCACTATGCTTATGTACTGGCCTTTTCCGGTCTAATACTCGATACCAAGTATCCAAGACTACCTGCCAGTGACAAGGACCTTTCTTCATCCCTGAGGCATGAGAGCACATGGGGGATCAGGGATCAGCCTAATACTAAAGCAAATGCCCTAAAAACAATGAAAGAAGGCCCACAACATGTCCAATCTCCCTTCAAAAATGTTTTGAAAAGTTCATTACTGACCAAAACAAAAATCTGAAAATTACTGAACAAGTGATCCCGATGACTTTCCCTGTTCACCAGTAGATGGGAGCCTGGGTCAGGCAACACACATCCTTCCCCTCACTCTTGAGCCTGGTGTCAGATTTTTTTATTATGTACTGTGCAATAGTATTGTATCTTGGAGATCGGTGTTTGATATAAGTGTTCAACTTTCCATTTGACCAGTTGTGATTGTATAAGTTCTTTGTGCTTAATGAGTACACATGCTGTTCACCAGCTGCTTTAACATGTGTTTCAGGGTCTTCTCCCTGATGCTGTCAACAAATACTGTTCCTGGCCAGTTATCTTCTCTGATCGAGTTTAGTTCCTTCTTAACCCTTAAAGTGCTCAGCATTAGGGCTATAATTCGAAAAATATTTGAATTATGTAAAAATTACTTTAAAATGTTAAACAAATCTCCAACTTTTTGCCTTCAGCATCGTGAAACTTTCATCAAAATATTTTCAGAAATTGATTTTAGACAAATATTAAAAAAAAAAAAGAACGTTTTGTTGATAAGGAGAGCAGCTCCTATTAACTGTAACTGATGGATAATGCAATAATAAAGAGATGCAAACACCTGTCCAACGCACAAAGAAGAAGAATAGTAGTAAGAAGTGCAGGCGATGAGTCACAATAATGTGGCTAAAGTATGTTGACCAGACCACACATTAGAAGGTGAAGGGATAACGACGTTTCGGTTCGTCCTGGACCATTCTCAAGTCGATTGTGACGGATTACAATCGACTTGAGAATGGTCCAGGACGGACCGAAAAGTCGTCGTCCCTTCACCTTGTGTGTGGTCTGGTCAACAGTAAGAAGTATCCTTAAAGTGGATATACAGCTGGTTCCTTTATAGCATTGGTGAGTAATACATAATAACAAATAATAATGAGTAAGTATGTTATTATGCTCTATTTTGTTATATATCATATATACATTGCCCAATGTTATTATCAGTTACTTTCAGCAATGTTCAACAAAATATTTATGCATACCCTTACCAATCTATGTGAAGACAGAATTAAATTGGTGAACAAATAAATCGGTCACAACTCTCAGAACTTGGGTCTTTGATTTTTTTTTGGCTGATTTTTCAGATTTCAAACTCTCTTCCTTGTTTCTTTAGGGTGTTTTGATGATTAGGGACAAGATTAGGGTTATTTTACTTTTATAAAGTATACCCTAAGTATATCCCCTAAATCCTTATAATTATAATTATCTCTATATTTTGATTTTTTGAGGTTATTTTTTCTTTACTTCATTTCAACACACAGTGACCTACAACTTTCACATATTTGAGTACGAATGCCAAACAATGTGTATTACAATGTACAAGTAAATTCATGAATTAAAACTGCCATAATTATACCTATAACTAGAATTTCAACTTTAGTATCCAAAAATCTAGTTTCTGACCGATTCTCACCATTTTTACATATTCAGTGGGGCCTCGATTTACAGTGGTAATCCGTTTCAAGAGACGTATCATAATTCGAAACGATTTTTCCCATAAGAAATAAAGGAATTGAATTAATCCGTTCTACACTCCCAGAAATATTAACTTAAAAATACATTTTATACTGAATACAATTTTTTTCTCTAACTACAATACAGTACATATGTTTATCTTACCTTTATGGAGGACTCTTGATGGCGTATGGAAGATGGTGAGGAAGGGGAGAGGAGGAGAGGTGCTACTGTTTGGAAGGGGAGTCCACTTCCATTACAACATCAGGCAGTGATGACTTCTCTGGGTACACTCTCCTACATTTTGCCTGCGTACCACTAGGACCTGGTTGTGGTTCACTGCTAGTTTGTCTCACTAAAATCCTTTCCATAGATTTTTGTTTTTCCATACGTTTTAAGTCAATTTTTATCTGTAGTGAGGCATCAGTGTCATTAAAAAGGTTAAGGCAACAGCCTACTGCACTGTGATTTGGGCGAGTTGTTTCGGCAAAAGTTTGCAATTCTTCCCATGTTGCACACATTTACTTAATTAATGAGGAAGGGACATTCTGTACTGTCTCCTACTTCCCTGAATAAATTTCCTCAGCTGTCTCTTGTTGCTGCCCCTTGTGAAGTTCTTCAGTGGACAGTTCTTCGCTGTGTTCCTCCACCAGCTCAGCCTGCTCGCCTTAAACTCTTTCGCATTTGCATCACTCGTTCCAGGGGGTTTTCTTTAAAAGGTCTTCATGCAATTTCCTTGCTTTTTCACAAATGATGGCCTCTGAAACTCTATCACCTGCTAACTCCTTGCTGTGAATCCAAATTAATAACTGTTCAACATCCTCAAGTGTTTGTGTTCTATGTTTCCGGAGGTAGACCTCTTCGCACAGGCATGGTTGAGGGTTTTTCCAGTGTATGTGGCACCCTACCCCGACTGCGAGTCCATTGGGGTTGATGACTTTCGGCTGGACTGGGCAAGGTGGTGTTACCTGTACCTCTTCCCACTGGTTCGGTTGTTGCTCCGGGTCCTGGCTCGCTTGGAGACTTAACCAGGGGAGCGTAGTCCTGTTGGCCCTTTGGTGGCCGGCCCAGTCCTGGTTTCAGGCGCCTGTTGCTCGAGATCCGAACCAGAGAGTTTTCCCGCGACTCCGCCTCATTCAGCAGATTGGTCCAGTACAGTACATGGCTGGTTCGATCTTCTCCTCCGCTCTACGTGTCTGGTCTTTTTGTTGCCAATTTATCACCACTTGTTTGGTGATCAGGTGGCCTCGTTGATGGTGTCCCACCTGCGAGTTTTGTCTCGACAGCAGTATGAAGTTCCTTGGCGGTCCTTTCGGCACTTTGTCTCTTTGTAGGATGTCTTCGATTTCTGATTTTTTTTTTTTATCCTTTTTCTCTTGATTGTTTCAGGACCGTCATCTTATGCCAAATACTGTTGCCTCGTATCGTGTGGCTTTGGCAGAGCCGCTTTAGTTTGCATTCGGGGTGGATGTCACTTCTGCTCTGTTACACAAGTTTTCTCGGGCACTGTTTCACCTCCGGCCTGCTCATGCGCTGTCTGAGCCATCCTGGTTGTTGGACCGGGTGCTCTCTTTTCTCCTCCTCGGTTTGTGGGGGTCTTCTCAGTTCAGGACTGTTTTTCTAGGGCTCTTTTTCTTGTTGGCATTGGCCTCTGAGGCATCAGGTTAGGAAGCTTCATGCTCTCCACTGCTGCAGGGGTTTCTGCTCCTTCGGTCCTGGTGGTCGTTTTGTTCGTTTGCAGCCATCTCCTTCTTTTCTGGCGAAGAATGAGTCTGCTGCTTTCCGGAGGGGTCCTTGGATGGTTGATGCTTGGTTGGTTCGGCCGGGAGTGCTTCATGTTTTGTGTCTGGTTGCGGCTCTTCCGCGTTAGTTGCACGCCACGGCCTCTGTGGCAAGGGGCCTCCGTGGCAGGGGACACACTTTGGTTAGACCCGGTTTCCCCTTCTTCCCTATTCCAGGGCGCGGGTCTTCCAGGTCATCTGCAGGATTATTTGTTCCAGCCAGCCTGTCGTCTATTCCCTGTGCCCATGACGTTCATAAGTTCACGGCTTTGGCTGCTGTTTTTGGTAATGTGTCTTGGGCTGACATTTGGGCATGGGGCTTTTGGAGGTCAAATAGGATCCTGGTCGCATGGTACCTCGTTAATGTTCCTGGCCCTTCTCGGGCATGTGTAGCCTTGGGTCACAGGTTGCAGCCAGTTGTCTCGACTTCGAGTTGAAGAGCGAGTAGCGACCGCCTCCCAGATAAGTCCCTTTTTCCTTTATCTTTGGTTAGGTAGCTCCGGGGAGCCTAAGGGGCTTTCCACAGAAAACCAGCGTTGAATGTAATGAAACGCCATTTTCTGGGTGAGACCCGGAAACTCCCTGGCATCCCTCCCTCTCTCTGGTCGGCGTTTTTTTCACGTTTTTGATATTCAGTCTCTGAACTGAGGTGAGTAGCCTGCGTGGAGGTCTGGGACCCCCCTTTTCCCCTCCCAGGGAGGGGGGGAGTTGCACAGACAGCGGCGGCTGTAGTGGCGTCGTGCTTGTTTGCTCGTTTTCGATTGGGGAGTTCTGCTGGCTTGTTCAGCTTTCAGTTTGCAATTTTTAACTAGCTGTAGTTTGTTTTGGAATTCCTACCTTTCCGAGTTCCTGACCTGCTAGATTCCAGACATAGATTGCTTCCAATTACACCAGGAGGGGGGGGGGGTTGTCTTTACGCCATTGCTTCTCATGCCTCTCTGAGGGGGCTAGATTCTGGCTTTGGTCCCCAGTAGGACTAGAACTCCATCGATTGACTGTTGCCATGGTCTAATAAATGCACATCAGCCTGCTATAGCTCCGGGGAGCCTCCGGGTCTCGCCCAGAAAATGGTATTTCATTACATTCAACTCTGTTTTTTTTGTGATTTTTATTTTCCATTGACTGAGGACTTCAGTATAATCATTAATCTGATAATTAATGTCATAGTAACAAGGCTGGAACAGGTAAAACTACACACACTAGTAATGGGTAAAGCGATGAAACTTTCTGTCCTAGGGTATTGTCAAATTAAAATTAATCTAGTCATAATTTGATAATGGTCCAGAATGGAATGAAATATAAAACCTTTTCTCCATTTCGCATTCCACCAATTGTTCATCTCCTACCAGATTGTGGAATCCATCATTCCAGCTTAACATTCTTAACCATACATTCTTTGTGTAATTTGGAAGGCATATAAACGTTCAACTGGTTAAAATCTGTTGTATAAAATCACTATCAATTCTCATTTTGTACTCGTCAGCCAACACTCTTACTTATATCAAATCTAGATTGTTGGACTACAACTTTATTATATTATGTTTCATTGATGTTTAACTTCTGTATTAGAAAGTATTGAGGGAAGAATGTGTTTTCTTCAGCCACTGGTGAAACCCTTGGGAATTTCATCAACAAGCAGCCAGAGGTGTTGGGATCACTTCTTATTGATAAGTTTGGTGAGCAGCTCCCCTTCTTGTTCAAGGTCCTAAGCGTTAACCAGGCACTCTCCATTCAAGCTCATCCAAAGAAGGTCAGCTTGGAATAGACAGCATAAGAAATAGTCTTTATATTAAAATTTTGATTAATTGAATATAGTACAATACTCTACTATATTTAATCTGCATGATGTCGATATAATGTGGTACTGTTTGTTGCTCTCGAGGCAAAGTGATCATTTAGATCACTCCAATTTTTTGTTTTCCAGAGTCATGCTGAGCAGCTGCACAAAGATCACCCAGATGTATACAAGGATCCCAATCATAAACCAGAAATGACCATTGCATTGACTCCTTTCCAAGCTCTCTGTGGCTTCAGGCCTGCACAGCAAATTTCAAAACATTTGAAAGGTGTTTAACTAATGCTTTAGTTAAAGTAGTATAATAGCTTGAATACCATACATTATTTATACCAACTTTTAACTGTTAATTTTAAGTGTTGAATTTAATATATTTAATGTGGAGGTTATATTTTAACACCTCCAGAATGATTGATGCTGCTACCAGACATAGTCTTGGCCAAAAATGTTCAAAGTTACTATGAAAATAAAAAAGTTATTTAAAAAAAATTTCACTAATTGTGCAGCACTGTGTATAACACGAGGGGTGGGAGCACACGGGTTGACCAGTGTTGGACGGGTCCACTTGGGGCAGCTATAGCACGTTATGTATGCCGCCAGGAGGAAAAAACTCGCAATATTTTTGAAGGAAACTTCAGCCTGTGCAAATTTTTTGTAGGAAACTTGTATATTTGTTATTACATTACTACTAGTATTTCTTTTGTTTTTGGCTATGATGAATTGCTCTAAAATAAATGGTAATTCCTGTACCCAGGTGGTCCCTCCCAACGCTCCCCTCTCCCCCGACACCCCACCCACTCCTACACCATGTGCCTCGAGCCACAGCCATACGGGATTAATACGGTATGGCCCGCGTACTGGCTTTCATATCCGGACAATTCACTCCTTGTCCGGCTGACTGTCCGGATATTGCAACATCGGCAGCAAGTTAACCGGCCCAGATTTTTTATCCGGACAAACACCTGATTTTCTGGCTCCTATGGACATTTTGGCCGGATATTGAGAACTTTTTCCGGTCACGATTTTGGCCGTATAAGGGCGTTTTCCGGATATTCGAATCCCGGATAATCGAGTGTACATACATTCGACGCTGGTTTTTTATTTGGATTTTCGTCCTTCCTGGATGCCAGTTAACAATGTCAAAAGAACAAATAATTTTTTCCGAGCAATTTATTTCATGTGCACCGTGGTGTTGCATTGTAAAATTGCTTGTGCAGCCGAAGGGATACAAAATTTCAATTATATCCCAATTTGCACAAATTTGATGATGAATGGCATAGTGCTGTATTTGTAATTCATTATTCAATTACAGAGTTGACTGAGCTACGGAAGGTAATAGGAGAAGATGTTGCAGACAATTTCATTGAGAATCCAACTGAAGAGAATCTCAAAGCTTGCTTTTCTGCAATGATGAACTCGCCTAAGGACGTCATTGCTTCTGCTCTTAATGATCAGTTACAACGATTCTCTGAATTGGGTAAGTTACAGTAAATGGCTGCAATGTCTGAATTTGAAGAAATTGATCTGATTATATATCGACAGGATTTTCAATTACATGCTACATAAGATTGAATGACAAGTTATGAAGAATCCTGTAATTATCACAAGTCTGAACCACTGTGATTTTCCAATAGAGACATCAGAAAGTGGTGAAGCCCTTTGTAACCTCTTCAAAACACTACATGAGCAGTATCCTGGTGATGTTGGCTGTTTTTCCATTTACTTGCTGAACTATCTAACTCTGCAGCCTGGTGAAGCTATGTTTCTTGGTCCTAACATTATCCATGCTTACCTGCTTGGAGGTAAGTCCCTTCACTCATTTTGTGGCAGCGGTAAAAGATAAGTGACTGTATGCAAACTTAATTGGTTTTAATATTGACAAGCATTTTATATTATATTTGGAAAATAGGTCAGCTTGAAAATCTGTAGCATCATTTAAATGATATTTAATGCTAGATTATTTGAGTTTTTTTGTATATTATATAGTAAAAGTAGTTTTAAGATTTGTTTATGATAAAAGAGCAGAAAGTACACACATACAGTGTAGAGAAACACCAATATGTGTAGATTTTATTTATAAGTGAAGTTTTCTGCATTTGGGGTGGGATGGGGGAAAGGAATGGTGCCCAATCATTTGGGCTGGCCAGTAGAGTGATGGTCTCACTTCATGCAGGGTTAGCATTCAATCCCCGCCCGTCCAAGTGGTTGGGCACCATTCCTTCCCAAATCCTTATGCTGATCCTGTCCATGTCCCTTGCAGTCCCCGTGGCGTAGTGGTAAAGCACTTGCTCGGCCCTTCACAAGTGCTTTGGCCTGCGTTTGTATTCTGGCCGGGAAGGATTGACTGGGTGCCAATCCTTAACTGTAGAGGAAATGGGTACCTGGTTGTTAAATGATTTGGTGGGTCATATTTTGGGAAAAGGATTAGGATTAAGGACCTGCCCAAAATGCTGTGTGTGCTAGTGGCTTTATAAGAGTGTGAGAACTCGTGTGTGTGTAATTACCTAAGTGTAATTACCTAAGTGTAGTTACAGGATGAGAGCTACGCTCGTGGTGTCCCGTCTCCCCAGCACTCTTTGTCATATAATGCTTTGAAACCACTGACGGTTTTGGCCTCCACCACCTTCTCACTTAACTTGTTCCAACCGTCTACCACTCTGTTTACAAAATTGAATTTTCATATATTTCTCCGGCAGCTTTGTTTCGTTAGTTTAAATCTATGACCTCTTGTTCTTGAAGTTCCGAGTCTCGGGAATTCTTCCCTATCAATTTTATCTATTCCTGTTACTATTTTGAACGTAGTGATCATATCGCCTCTTTTTCTTCTATCTTCTAGTTTTTGCATATTTAATGCCTCTAATCTCTCCTCGTAGCTCTTGTCCTTCAGTTCTGGGAGCCACTTAGTGGCATGTCGTTGCACCTTTTCCAGTTTGTTGATGTGCTTCTTAAGATATGGGCACCATACAACCGCTGCATATTCCAGCTTTGGTCTAATAAAAGTCGTGAACAATTTCTTTAGTATTTCTCCATCCATGTATTTAAAAGCAATTCTAAGGTTAGAAAGTGTAGCATAGGCTCCTCGCACAATGTTCTTAATGTGGTCCTCGGGTGACATTTTTCTATCTAAAACCACCCCTAGATCCTTTTCTTTATCAGAATTCTTTAAAGATTTCTCACATAATTTATAGGTTGTGTGGGGTCTATGTTCTCCAATTCCACATTCCATAACATGGCATTTATTCACATTAAATTCCATTTGCCAAGTGTTGCTCCATATACTTTTTTTGTCCAGGTCTTCTTGAAGGGCATGACAATCATGTAAGTTTCTTATCTTCCCTATTATCTTAGCATCATCAGCAAACATGTTCATGTAATTGTGTATTCCCACTGGTAGATCGTTTATGTAGACAATGAACATTACCGGTGCAAGAACTGAACCCTGAGGTACTCCACTCGTGACATTCCTCCAATCCGATACCTTGCCTCTGATTATGGCCCTCATTTTTCTGTCAGTTAGGAAATTTTTCATCCATGTTAGTAGCTTACCTGTCACTCCTCCAATATGTTCTAGTTTCCAGAACAACCTCTTATGGGGAACTCTGTCGAAAGCCTTTTTTAGGTCCAGATAGATGCAGTCAACCCAACCATCTCTTTCCTGTAAAATCTCTGTGGCTCGATCATAAAAACTGAGCAAGTTCGTGACACAGGATCTTCCAGATCGAAAACCATACTGTCTGTCTGATATTATGTCGTTTTCCTCCAAGTGTTCTACCCATTTAGTTTTAATTATTTTTTCCAATATTTTGACTATTACACTTGTCAATGATACAGGTCTATAATTAAGGGGGTCTTCCCTGTTTCCACTTTTGTAGATTGGAACTATGTTAGCCTTTTTCCACACATCAGCTACAGCTCCTGTATACAGGGATGCCTGAAAAATCAGTTAAAGAGGAATGCTGAGCTCAGGTGCACATTCTCTCAGAACCCATGGTGAAACTCCATCTGGACCAACTGCTTTGTTCTTACTTAGCTCCTTGAGCATTTTTTCCACTTCATCTCTAGACACCTCTATGTGCTCTATGTTGTTCTCTGGAATTCTTATTGTATCTGGTTCCCTAAAGATTTCATTTTGTACAAACACACTTTGGAACTTTTCGTTTAGTGTTTCACACATTTCCTTTTCATCTTCCGTGAATCTATTTCCCATTTTCAACCTCTGAATATTATCCTTTACCTGCAATTTGTTGTTTATGAATTTATAGAACAGACCTGGTTCTGTTTTGCATTTGTCTGCAATCCCTTTTTCAAAATTTCTTTCTGCCTCTCTCCTCACTGCCGTGTAGTTGTTTCTCGCATCTTTGTATCGCTGGTATGTTTGGGGGTTCGGCCTCTTCCTGTATTGATTCCATTTTTGTGTCTTTTGGTCTCTAGCCCTCTCGCAATTTATGTTGAACCAATCCTGTTTCCTAGTTCTGCATCTCTGTTTTGGTATAAATTTTTTTGTGCCTTTATCATATATTTCACAAAACTTGACATACATCTCATTCACTTCCTTGCCTAGCATCAAGTCTGTCCAATTATACTCACTAAAAAAATTTCTAAGGTCACCATAATGTCCTCTCCTGAAGTCTGGTTTTTCAACTGATTCAACCTCCTTATTTTCTTCCATCTTATAACGCATTGCATACTTTATTCCCAAAAAGACATGGTCAACTTTTACCCAAGGGAAGAAGGTACTGAATGTCAAATATCTCTTCCTCCTTCCTGGTAAATATCAAATCTAGCATGGAGGGGAACGTCCCCTTCCCTCATCCTCGTAGCTTGTTTAACATGTTGATACAAGAATGTTTCCAGGATGAGGTCTACAAATTTACAGGTCCAAAAATCTTCTGTTTTAGCTTCATATGCTTCCCAGTCTATGAATTTCAAGTTGAAGTCACCGACTATCAACAGTCGTGATCTATCGTTATCCGCTCTCGCTATAATCTCTCTCATTATTGTTATAAGACCTTCACGTTTACTATCTAGCTCCTCCTTTAACCATGTGCTGCTTGGTGGTGACAGTACCCGCACCAAGGGGTACGAACAACTGCAATAGACCGAGACAAAGAAGCACATCACAGGACACGGGCTGACCAATGCCTAAGAACACACGCAGAACATCCCTGCTGCAGAGGAGGCAGGAAGAAAGAGCAGAAGCACAAAAACCCCAGGAGAACAACCAGGGGTGGACAATCAGGCAGGGACAGAAAAACCCCCACGCAATCCCCAGGCACAAAACGGCAGCAAAGTGCCACTCCACAACCGGACACAGGAACAAGGACACGCCACCGTGAAACACGGTACCAAAGCACACGTGCAGCCGCAGCAACAGGCACCACTGCAACATGCAACATGTAATAGCAACTCCCTTCTGCAAAGGCAGAGAACGGAGCAGGCAGACCCCAGACAGGGCCAACGGAGACACGACAAAACCCTGCAGGCCCAGAAACCTGCACCAGGCGACCGAAGGCGGAGAAACCCCGCTCGATACCTGCTGGATGAGGTACTGGGAGCTCTTTTACACTTGAAGCCCGGCCCAAGGCCAGGCTAGACCGGCCAGAGGGTGGCCCACCAGGCAGCTGCTAGGAGCAGTCCACCGGCCCACATACCCCCACAACCAGGACGGGCCGGAACTGCCATACGAAAACAGGCTAGTGCGCCCTGGAAGTCCACGGACGAACCAGCAAGACGACTTATGCTCGCAAGTAGGTCGTGTAACAAGCACAGACCTCTGATGGTAATACAGTGTTCCCCAAATGTGCCAATAGCACCACTGCACTCCACAGGTACTATTCCGCAAGTTCTACCAGATAGGCAGGACCCAAGAGCCAGAGCTCAAATCCTGCAAGCACAGCCAGGAGCCTTACCAGGTGAGTACAGAACCAACCCCACAACCCCCACACCTCACAACATTAAAAAAGGAGGGTCCCCTGAATGACTCCAGCATGGGTTGGACATGCACATGAGGGGGACAGGAAGGGTTGAAAAAGGGACAGTCACTGGTGTGCGAACGGTCTCAGTCGTACAAAAACATACCTAAATAAAGACAGGTATATAAACAACACCGCATCCAGCACCCGGCCAAAAGACGCCAGACCGCAGAAACTCACCTGGCGAATGGTGGCACGAACTTGACACGACTCAACCGTGCCCAGAAGAACCTGGGAGCACCGCCAGGTGAAGACGCCAGAGCCGGACCCGCAGGAGAGCAGGGAGAGGCGAAGGAGGCGGTCCACACCCATGACACAGGGAAAACCGCGGTGTCCTCCCCACAACTGGGAACCAGGACACCCCCGGCGCGAAGGGGCACATACCGCAGCCAGGGAGAAGAACAAGAGGCGAAGCACTGTAGCAAAAAAGGGCGCAAAACACCAGCACTGAAACACCGCCCAGACTAAAACAAACTCCACGGCGCATGCGCATAACACGCTGGCCGAACCGCACACCCTCCCTGCGGGAAGGCGCCAGCCAGGACTACTGCATGAGAAAAGTAGCCAAAAGAGGAAGCAGGAACAATAAAACCGGCCAAAGAAGCAAAGAGCCCAAAAAGGAACCCAACAGGGCGACAAGCAGCCCAACAGGGCGACAAGGACGAGGAGCCGACAGACGTTCCAATAATGCGGGAAGTAGCGAAAAACCTTCCCGTACCCTCGAGAACACAGAAGCCAACACTAGTCCCGAAGGCACACGAAGGCGCAGGCGCACCCGAGATCAGAAGTCACGCAGAACCCCATCGAACGGGGAAACATGACGAAAACACCGTCCCAAAAAGGGGTGGGAGGAAATATCCACCCACAGGACGGAACCAACCGACTCAAAGGCCAAGGAACCGAGCCCGGGGAGAGGCCGATGCCCAACAGCACGTACGGCGAGTGGGGAGGAAAAACCCCACTCCGCGTAACCACAAGCCCCGCCTAGAGGGGGATAAAAACCCCCACGGGGTCCAACGAGGCCAAGGCCCCCAAGTCAGCCCCTTCCCAGCCCCGGGAACCTACACGACAGGCCCCGGGGCCGAGCCGTTCCCCCAAAGCCCCGGCCGTACCAGAAAACCGGGGCAGCCGTGAAAACACTAACGAAGGGAGCCTACTGGCAGACTCGTACAACACGGCTGGAGGAACAGGCTCAAATGCCCCCGTCACTACCCCGGAAGGGGAATTCCCCGAGACTGCCCGAGTCTCAACACCATCAAAAACCCCGCCCCGAACCTACAGACGGTAAGGAACCAGATGCAGGCAGGAAGGGTGATCCAGGGGAAAGACAAGTGGGCGTGGATGGAACCGAAGCAACCAACACCCCCAAGTCCCAAAACGAACTACAACGGGGCAGCCCCGGGGCTCCCGGGGAGGAAACCACGAGAACGTTGCCACCACCAAGGCTCATGTGCAACGCCCCTGCTGCCCGCACCCGCTTTGTTAGCACAACTGGGTAACCGAGGCACAACGAGCAACCAAACCCGCAGGACTCCGGGTCGAAGGTGTCACCGACCCCACAGGCAGCAGACGGAGGCAAAACAGAGAGGCACCCAGAGACAAAAGGTGAGAGCAACCCTCAAACTCGCTGGAAGCGAGGGGGGGACTCAGGGGTCACATCCATCGGACCCGCGCGCCCCCAGGGGTTTCCCAGGGTCCCGAGCGTTTACTATAAGAGGACTCGCGCTCAGGTAATCCCAGGCAGGGTACTGCTAACCGGCACCCAAAGCTACCAAACAACTTTCTAAGAGCTGAACACCCGGGACGTGTACACTCACGGGGACCTAGCAGGGGTACCACCAGAAAATACTCAGAACACAAGGGGCAAGAACGAAGGCAGACCCCCCCCACCAGATAGATAAACAAAAAGAAAAAGAAAACCCCGCAAGAGGACAGCGTACCCAAGCGGAACAGAGCCGGCCGCTATGATTGGTAAAGACAAGCTGCACGGTACCCTGCGCCCCACCAGTGCAAAAACTGCCCCTTATTCTAAGGCGAACAAGGGAGACAGAACACCCGAGCACACAAAGAGCAGCCGAAAACCAAGCAGCAAACGGCCAAGCAGGGGCAGGACCCAAGGAACTTGTAGAAGGTGGCCCCAAGCCCCAAGGGCAGCACTTACAGGGCACCTAGGGAAGGGAACCCTAGGTGCATGCAGCCCGAGTACTGAAGAATCACTCCCGGCTCACGCACCACCTAGAAAACAGACACCACACTCTAGGTACAGTGCTGAAACAACCACTGGAGCCGGAGCACATAACCGTTGCCTATAGCATCAGCCGAAGAACTTATGGGTGGATAGCCGGCGTGGGAGGTCTGGGGCTCCCCCTTCCCCCTCCCGGGGAGGGGGGAGCTGCACAGACAGCGGCGCGGTGAGGTATGACGTCATACTAGTTTCCTTGTTTTCTGTTGAAGAGTTCTATCCACTAGTTCGGCTTTAGGTAGCAATTTTCACCAGAATAGGGGTTTGTTTTGGAATGCTTACCTTTCTGGATGCTTGACCCGGTCGATGGCAGACACAAAATGCTTCCAACCACACGGGGGTTTCTATAGGCCATTGCTCCCCTTGCCTCTCTGAGGGGGCCAGGTTCTGGCTCGTGGTCCCCGGTAGGCCCTAGAACTCCATACACATGACTGATGCCAAAGTCTGACATTAGCATATCGGCCGGTAAAGCTCCGGGGAGCCGACGGGGCTCCCCCCAGAAAAGTATTTATAATCTTTCCAGTGTTCTGACATCAATTTTTGAGAGTGCTAAGAAGTAAAATCACAAAATACATGGAATCACAGCAACTCCATAACCCCGGACAACATGGTTTCAGAACAGGGCGCTCTTGCCTGTCGCAGTTGCTGGACCACTATGATATGGCATTAGATGCTATGGAAGACAAACATAACGCGGATGTAATTTACACAGATTTTGCAAAAGCTTTTGATAAATGTGACCATGGTGTTATTGCACATAAAATGCGTTCAAAAGGAATTACCGGAAAAATAGGCAGATGGATCTACAATTTCCTGACCAACAGAACCCAATGTGTAATAGTCAACAAAATAAAATCCAGCCCATCAACCGTGAAGAGCTCAGTCCCCCAGGGTACTGTGCTTGCTCCAGTACTTTTTCTCATCCTCATTTCGGACATAGACAAGAACACAACCTATAGCACTGTATCATCCTTTGCAGATGACACTAGGATCTTCATGAGAGTAGGCAACATAGAGGACACGGCGAACCTCCAGTCAGATGTAGATCAGGTCTTTCTATGGGCTACAGAAAATAATATGGTGTTTAACGAAGATAAGTTCCAGCTCATGCGCTATGGAAAAAATGAAAATATAAAAACGGAAACCACGTACAAAACTCAGGCAAATCATAACATAGAACGAAAAGGCAATGTCAAGGATCTGGGTGTACTCATGTCGGAAGACCTTACCTTTAAAGAACACAATAAAGTAGCCATCACAACTGCAAGAAAAATGACAGGTTGGATAACAAGAACTTTTCACACTAGAGATGCTATACCGATGATGATACTTTTCAAAACGCTTGTGCTCTCTAGAGTAGAGTACTGCTGCACAATGACAGCACCTTTCAAAGCTGGAGAAATTGCTGACCTGGAGAGCGTGCAGAGATCCTTTACTGCTAGAATCCACTCGGTAAAACATCTAAACTATTGGGACCGACTAAAGAGCCTAAAACTGTACTCCCTTGAGCGCAGGCGGGAGAGGAACATAATAATTTACACGTGGAAAATATTAGAGGGGCTGGTCCCAAACCTGCACACAGAAATAACATCACATGAGACCAGAAGACATGGCAGGATGTGCAGAATACCCCCGTTGAAAACACAGGTGCAACTGGTGCTCTGAGAGAGAACTCTATCAACATCAGAGGTCCGAGACTGTTCAACATGCTTCCACTACACATAAGGGGCATAACTGGCCATCCCCTCACAGTGTTCAAGAGAGAACTGGATAAGCACCTCCAAAGGATACCTGATCAACCAGGCTGTGACTCATACGTCAGGCTGCGAGCAGCCGCGTCCAACATCCTGGTTGATCAGTCCGACAACCAGGAGGCCTGGTCGACGACCGGGCCGCGGGGACGCTAAGCCCCGAAAGCACCTCAAGGTAACCTCAAGGTTGGTATCAAATTGTGCGCAATGTAAAGGCGCTCATTTTAAAACCACTCCCAGATTGATCGGATAAAATTTAAATTTTTAATAAATATTTTAAAATGATGGACTCCGCTTGCGTCCACAACTCGGACAAAAGAGAGATATTTTGAACCCCAGGGGTGTTCGAAGAGAGCGAAAGTGTTAATTTCTCTCATCATTTTTATTAGACAAAAGAACAGCAAAGTGATTAGATTCATTCTTAGCGCATTTAAGACTTGCAGCCAGCAGTTCTTAAAAAACAAATGCTAATGCATCATAGATTCCTTTCAATAAGAAATGTACAGAACTAGCATCTAAGATCAGGAACACTAACACAATAAAACCAGAGAGATGGATCATTTTCCCTGATAAGACAGACAGCAAACAACATAACCAACACCTGCAACAAAGCCAATACTGTATAGGGGTTGTGGACAAGACATCTATGGTAATCAAAACTGTCACAATCATAACTAGTGACAAAATGTCACCATAGCATTGATGTATGTTATACCCTGTAATAGTCGTGACAAAGTAAATTAAGGTGAAACGTCCCAAAATTTAGATGAGAATTTTTAAACATACGTTCAGCATTCCTGTCATGTTGATAGCATCAACAATGCTTAAGTTACGTGTAGAAACCATGAGAAACGCCTAATGAACTTCATGAATATTAATCTCAACATCAAATAAGAAAATGCATTGAGACAGTGTATAGTGTACAACCATCAAACACCACGACACCTTCAAAGGAAATTGGGGAAAATTCAGTATTGCTACTTATTTTGTTGAAATAATATTATATAAATTGTAAGATATAATCCCTTATGTCTATCACCTTCACATCAGTAATCTTAACGCACCTTCTCCTCACTGACCTCATCACTTTCCCATTTTCCCCTTTATAATCACCAGTCTTGTGTATCTTTCAGATTTAATTAAGCCCATACAGGCGAAACATTATTTACATAGTCTATTCTCGTCTTGCTATTCCTTGACAAGAATTTTATTTTAGTAAAACCAGAATTCCGCATTTTAATATATAATATATCTCACAGACTGTGTTGAATGCATGGCCTGCTCAGATAATGTGGTACGAGCTGGCTTGACCCCAAAGTTCCAAGATGTGGAAACCTTAGTGTCTATGCTGGACTATGGAATGGTGTCACCAGAATCTAAAAAGTTTGAGGGCTTCAAAATGGATGGTTATACAACACTGTACAATCCTCCAGTGCCTGACTTTGCTGTTGATATGATTGAGGTAGGTTTGTATTCACACTTGTGTAAACAAAGTTAATTGAATTGGACCGAGGTCATTAACATTTCTCATTTTTGACTCAGGAGAGTATACAGTAGTACAGTATGGGGCTTAAAGTGATTGGAGAACTGGAGCGGCAACAGTGGTTGCTTTCATCATTGTTTTGAATTCACCTCAACTCCTGCAGTACCAACACAGTACGTCACTTTCATACCAGGTCCAAGGAATGAATGAATAATAAAGAGGTCTTCTCAAGAAACAAATAGTGAAGTGCAGCAAACAAATATCTGACATCAACCATTGCCTTTGGAAGAAATAAAAGGTGTTGTGACTTGCATGTATTGCATAATGATGCCTGGTAGTTAGGTTGTGTCATGAATGTAAATGTAACATCACAGGAGATTTAGATCAGTTTCCTACACCCCAATGGCCCATCCCATCATGGATGGGCCAGTATCTCTGACTGATACTCATCAGTCAGAGATACTGAACACTTTGATTGAACAAGTTCTCACTAAGGTTGATGCACTTACTGTAACTGGACAAACTTACACATTAACTGCTGCAGATACTCAAAGCTCAGAAGCATCTCTTCAGAGAAGGCACTAACTTATGATTGTAAGCTTTCCTAAAAGTTTTACATGACATTGTTTCATTCTCTGCTACAGTAATTTCCATAAACAAGCAATAAGGTATTTCACTGAATGTGAGAAATCATACTTTTATGATTTTTTTTCTCTGGTTCCCAAAGCCATTCCAAAAAGAAACTGGTATCAAAGAGGGAATGCATTTAACTGTATAATTTTTTGTCTGAGGGGAGCCCTGTTGACTCCCTGAAGCTGTCATGCACTGATTAGTGTGTTACGGCCACAGTGGGTCGCAACTGGGTTCTTTGCTGGTGGAACTTAAGTTCTGGTATCCGGCCCCAAGTTAGTAGTGGCTTTCAAGGAGTGAGCTCGGTAATGCAAGTACAACACAATGGGGGAGGTGCATTGAATACGACACTTCATCAATTATCAATATATTCACATATAAACACTTTCCCATCACCTCATACATAATCCTAAAGGAAGTATTACTACACTTAATATGTACACAAGTGTCTCTCTCATAGGACACTAAGCGCTCCTTGATGCTCAATCGGTGCAGTCTTGTCAGCTCCCGTGTTTCCTCAACACACAGTACCGTCCTCAACCAGTACTGGGAAACGCCAACGAGTCTACCCTACCCATGGGCCAGCCAAAACACAGTCTCGCTAGATGCTCTCTCTGCACGCCCACAATCACTCTCCAGCCTGGTGCTGGCAGAGAACATCAGCCTCCCGCTGCTGGGCCTCTTCACGTATAAATACAAGGGTAGCGAACCCCTGGCAGGAGCTTCTTGCAACTCGCTGGTTACGCTCCTCCGTAGCACCTTACTGTCAGTCGTCTCTTCCGTTAGCCAGTCCCGGGTACGCCGAATTCTGTCACTGCCACTTCACAGGCAGACAGTAGAACACTACACAGTTCTTCTCTGGTGGCGGCTCACTGCTTCCGTAAAGCAGAATGGAGTAGAGCTATTGGCTGCCCTGGGTAGACCGACTGTCCTCGTACCACAGCAGCCCTATGTCTACTCTGTGGATACAGACATGTCATCAGTACACTGGTCAGTACATGGGACACTAGGAAACATCATTTACGTACTCTGACATAGACATACAACTCCTCCTATAATAGATGGCGCTGATTTTCTAGGCACCACCTCACCAGAGGTCAGCACCAGCTACCTCTCGAGCTGACTAGGGCAGAAATCTAGCGCCTCTTGTTGGTATAATCCTGTCACCACTAGATGGCGGCGTCCAATTTGTGGGGGTTTCAGAAGCGGACTCATAGATGGCATTGACGTTGCTGCTCCATGCTCCGACGATGGAATCGGGTTTGTAACATAGTGCCATACTACTTAGTGCCATCAGTTGCAGAGTTCTATTTGCCTAGTTCTAGATTTCAGTCAGTTCTAGGCTGATGGGTGCCCGCCAAATGGCCGTCATCGCTCTGGTTTCCTGTTTTTGAGTGGCATTTCTGGGGGAACCTGTCGGCTCCCTGAAGCTAACAGAACTGATATGTGCTTTATTAGTTTGGGGTCATCAGTCATGTGGAGTTCTGAGCCTCCCGGGGACCACGAGCCAGAAACTGGTTTCCCTAGAGAGGTGCAGGGAGCTATGGCATATGAGCGCACTACATGTGAAGCATGTCATTTTCCTCCATCGACTGGGGCAGTAGTCCAGAGAGATAGACAAACCAAAACAAACAACTAGCTGGTAAAATGCGACCTACAGCCCAAAAGAGCAAAAAACTCCTCATCAATAAAAAGAAACGAATTGAAACTAGCAACTCTGCACACAAACTAGTACGGGGTACCTTGGTTTAAGAATTTAATTCATTCCTGGAGACGGCTCGTAACTCGAAAATTCGTAAACCAAAGCTAATTTCTTCATAAGAAATAATGAGAAATGAATTAATCTGTTCCTGACTCCCCAAAAACTTCACTTCAAAGTAAATTTTATACCTAATTCACCCAAATCTATACTACAAAAGTATGTTCAAGTTATTACTTACCCTTGCTGATGACTCCTGTTGGCGTATGGAAGATGGTGAGGAGGAGGGGGGAGGAGGAGGAGAATTGTTACTGTTTAAAAGGGGAGTCCCCTTCCATTATAACATTGGGCAGTAAAGATTTTTCTGGAGTGCACTCTGGCACGTTTTGCCTGCATACCACTAGGTCCTGGTTGTTGGTCACTGCTTGATTTTCTCACAATGAAATGTTCCATTGAAGATTGTTTTTCCCTTCTTCGCAAGATTTCTCTGTAGTGAGGCATCACATTGTCATTGAAAAGATTAATGCAATGGCCTACTACAGCTTCCTCTGGGTGAGTTGTTTCAATAAAAGTTTGCATTTCTTCCTATATCTGACACCACTTCCTAATTGTTGAGGAAGGGACATTCTCTTCGCCCTCATCCTCCTCCTCTGGAGAAATATCCTCAGCTGCCTCTTCTTGCTGCTCCTTTTGAAGGGCTTGGAGTTCTTCGGTGGTCAGTTCTTCGTTGTGTTCTTCCACCAACTCCTCCACATCAGCACCATCCAATTCCAAGCCCATTTTCCGGCCCAGAGTAACAATTTCCTCAACAATAGGCACTTCATTTACAGGCTCAAACCCCTCAAAGTCTAATTCTGGGACACATTCAGGCCACAATTTTCTCCAGCCAGAGATAAAGGTTCTTTGAGTCACTTCTTACCAGGCTTTGTCAACGAGGTTTAGAGCACTACAAATGTTAAAATGGTTTTCCAGAACTCGTTGAGGGTGAGATTTATGGCTTCAGTCACTTCAAAACATTTCCGGAAAAGTGCCATTTCATAAAGTTTCTTAAAATTCGCTATGATTTTCTGGTCCATAGGCTGAATTAAAGGAGTGGTGTTAGAAGGAAGAAACTTTATTGTGAGAAAATTATATCTGTTCAACAATGCATCTTCCAAGCCTGGAGGATGAGCAGGAACATTGTCGAGGAGATGCAGTGGCAAACTTTTCTCCTGCAGATATTTTTGTATGGCAGGGCACCACATCATTCACCCACAACGTAAAAAACATCCTAGTCACCCATGCCTTATTATTAGCCCTCCACATCACACACATTTGGTTTTTCTGCACACCATACTTTTTGAAACCCTTGGATTTTCAGAATGATGCACAAGCAAGGGATTAATTTTCAAATCGCCACTCGCATTTCCACACAACAGAAGCGTAAACCTATCTTTCATAGGCTTGTGTCTGGGCAATGATTTTTCCTCCTTGGTAATATATATGCTCTTAGGCAATCTTTTCCAGAACAGTCCTGTCTCGTCACAATTAAACACTTGTTGTGGTAGGTATCCCTCAGCCTCTACAAACTCTTTAAATTCTTCAATAAATCTTTCAGCCGCTGGTTTGTCCGAGCTGGCAGCCTCCCCATGCCTCACAACACTAAGAATACCACTTCTTTTTCTAAATTTGTCAAACCATCCCCTGCTTGCCTTAGTCTTTTGCATCTGCACTCGTTCCAGGGGTTTTCTTTACAAGGTCTTCATGCAATACCCTGGCTTTCTCACAAATGATGGCCTCTTAAACACTATCACCCGCTAACTCCTTGTTGTGTATCCAAATTAATAACAACTTTTCCACATTCTCAAGTATTTGTGGTCTTTGTTTCATGATTGTTGATGCGCCTTTTGCCACTTTAGCACTCATAATGTCCTTTTTTTTGGCTAGTACAGTGCATATCATTAACATGGATTTGTTGTACTGCCTAGCTAGTTCAACAACACTTGTACCATTTTCATGTTTATGAATGATCTCTTGTTTTTCCTCTATGGTCATTCTCACATGCGATTTCTTGCCTTGAAACTTACCACTGGCTTTCTTGGGACCCATGGCGAGATATATAATAACTTTTCTGGGGGAGCACTGTCGGCTCCCCGGAGCTATAACAGGCTGATATGCTAATGTCAGACTTTGGCATCAGTCATGTGTATGGAGTTCTTAGGGCCTACCGGGGACCACGGCCAGAACCGGGCCCCCTCAGAGAGGCAAGGGAAGCAATGGCCTATAGAACTCCCGTGTGGTTGGAAGCATTCTATGTCTGCCATCGACCGGGTCAAACATCCAGAAAGGTAAGCAACCCAAAACAAACCCCTATTCTGGTAAAAATTGCTACCTAAAGCCGAACTAGTGGATAGAACTCCCAACAGAAAACAAACAAGCAAGTATGACGTCACACGTCACCGTGCCTCTGTCTGCGCAGCTCCCCCCTCCCCGGGAGGGGGAAGGGGAAGCCCCAAACCTCTCACGCCGGCTATCCACCCATCAGTTCTTCGGCTGATGCTAAAGGCACTGGTTGTGTGCTCTGGCTCCGATAGTTGTTTCAGCACTGTGTACCTAGAGTGTGGTGTCTGTCTTCTAGGTGGTGTGTGAGCCGAGAGTGAGTCTCCAGTACTCGGGCTGCATGCGCCTAGGGTTGCCTTCCCTAGGTGCCCTGTAAGTACTGCCCTTGGAGCTTGGGGTTACCTTCCACAAGTTCCTTGGGTCCTGCTTCTGCTAGGCCATCTACTTTTTGGTTTTCGGCCGCCCTTTGTGTGATGAGGGTTCTGTCTCCCTTGTTCGCCTTAGGGTAAGGGGCAGTTTGCAGTGGTAGGGGTGCAGGGTACTGTGCAGTTTGTTTTCACCAATCATAGCGGCCGGCTCTGTTCCGCCTGGGTACGTTGTCCTCTTGCAGGGATTTTCTTTTTCCTTTTTGTTTGTCTACCTGGTGAGGGGGTCTGCCTTTGGTTATTGTCCCCTTTGTACTGGATTCTTTTCCTTCTTCCGGTGGTTCCCCCCTGCTAGGTCCCTGTGAGTGTACATGTCCCGGGGTTCAGTTCTTAGAAGGTTGTTTGGTAGACATGGGCGCCGGTTAGCAGTACCCTGCCTGGGATTACCTGAGCGCGAGTCCTGTTATAGTAAACGCTCAAGACCCTGGGAATCCCCTAGGGGGAGCCTGGACCCGATGGATATGGCCCCGGAGTCCCCCCCTCGCTTTGTGCGAGTTTGAGGGTTGCTCTGTCCCCTTGTCTCAGGGTGACACTTGCTGTTTTGCCTCCATCAGCTGCCTGTGGGGTCGGTGACACCTTTGGCCCGGGGTCCTGCGAGTTTTGTTGCTTGCTGTGGCTCAGTTACCCAGTCTTCTGCTGACTAAGTGGGTGCAGGCAGCATGGCCATTGCACGTTAAGTTTCGGTGGCAACGCACTAGGTTGTTTGCTTCCTGGAAGCCCTGAGACTGCCCCTTGTGGTTGGTGGTTTTGTCGGGTAACCTCCCCACCCCCGCCCACCGCCCTTCCTCCCTGCATCCGGGTCCTTACCGTCTGTAGGTTCGGGATCGGGGCGGGGCTTCCATGGTTTTGAGACTTGGTTGGTCTCGGGGAATTCCTCTTCTAGGGTAGCGATGGGGGCATTCGAGCCTGTTCCTCCAGACGTGTTGTATGAGTCTGCCAGTGGGCTCCATTCCTTTCTGTTTTTCACGGCTGCCCTGGTTTTTCTTGAGGCTGGGGCTTTGGGGGGGACGGCTCGGCCCCGGGGCCTGCCGTGTGGGTTCCCGGGGCTGGGGGAGGGCTGACTTGGGGGGGCCTCTGGCCCCCATTGCAACCCGCCGAGGTTTTTTCTACCCCTTGGACGGGGCTTGCGGTTGCGCGGAGTGGTGTTTTTCCTTCCCCACTCTCCACACGAGTTGTTGGGTGTTGGCCCTTCCCCGGGCTCTGTTCCTTGTTCCTTATGCCCGTTGGTTCCTTCCTGTCGGTGGGTACTCTTCTCCATTGTTCACCCCTTTTAACTTGGGACAGGACTTTCCCATCATGTTCCCCTCTTCTTGGGGTTCTGCATGCCTTTCAGTCTCGGGTGCGACTGGGTTTTTTGGTGCCTTCGTCATTTGTGCTCGTTTCTGTATTCTCTGGTTGATACCTGGTTGATACCTGGTTCTCGAAGGTTTACTAGGACTTGGTTCTTTCTTTTCTCTCTTCTGCTAGTCTGCCTGTTGTTGGGTGGGTGAGCTTCAAGCTCTGCTCCAGTGCTGGGGGTTTTGTTCTTTTAGTCCTGATGTTCATTTTGTTTGGTTACAGCCAGCCCCCTCTTTTCTGGTAAAGAATGAGTCGGCAGGCTTCCAGAGGGTTCCTTTAGTTGTGCATCCTTGGTTCAGCTGGGGGTACATAATGTGCTTTGTCCAGTGGTGGCTTTACACCATTACCTTTGGGCCACCAGTTCAATTTCAGTGTCAAAGTTCAGCTCAGTTGAGGGTTCAGTGATCAACCCTGGTGGGTTGATCTGGTTTTCCTGATTCCCTGTTCCTGAACTCTTATTTCTCAGGTTGTCCACAGTATCATCATTCATATGTCGTTTGAATATTTCCCATTAAGGTGCACTTTATTTAAAGTTGAAGATCTCTAGCTAAAATGTATTTTAAAATGAATAAATTAAAAAAGAAAAAAATGTACAAATATAGTTGCTTGTTTTTTTTTCCCATCAGATACCTGCTGGAATGGAGCAGTATACTTTAAGACCTATAGAATCAGCAAGTATTGTCTTGGTGGTGGAAGGTAATGCAGATGATGTGGAAGCAAACCCAGCATCCCCTGGAGAGGTGCCACATGCTACTTCCCTTCAGCGGGGTTCCGTATTGTTTTTAGTAGCAGAACAGTCTTTGACTCTGAAGCCCAGACCTGGAACACGCTTCCTTGCCTTTCGTGCTTTATGCATCCTTTAAATTTCAGGGAATTTGAGAGTGCATTAATAAGTAGCTATATATATATATATATATGTATATATATACAGTATATATATATACACTGTTAAAATTATTGATGATTAATATTTTACCAGAATAGTAATGGTTGTTATGTGATGCCTTGAAAGAATTTAAGTACACGAATTGTTAAATTTTAAACGTGTTATTGTCTGTAGTAAATTTATTATATTATATAAATTTGCTAAAAGTTATAGAAAGCAGGACAAGTTTCCAACTAATTGTAAGCTTTTAAATTTGCAATATTTGTTGCATTTTAACTTTCTATTATCATATACACAGATCTGTTGTCTTTTGAGACCTCTCTTGCTTTAGATAGATCAAATTCTGATATCTTTAAGTGTCTGTGGTAGGATGTAGTTGAGCATTTATCATTTGCATGCCCTTGTTATGTGTTATAAGACAATGAGAATTATAATATGTTAATCTGCTGTTTTGTATGTTTTCATATTACTTCAAACATAAAGAAAAATCAAATCCATGTACAAGATATGCCATTATTATTTTAGTTAAAATTTCATAGAAACTGAAGAATTTTACTGCATATACTTAAAGCAAGCATCCTTTAGGCCTTCATTCATCAATGAAGAAATTGGGAAAGAGATATCATGAGCCCTCCCAGTAATAATGATGTCGTCCCTCCCGCTACTTCTCGGTCAATGTTCTGTGATATGAAGTAAACAAAAAATTAGAGTAGTTTATATTATTTTTTAGCTAGAAGCCTCCACTGCTCGAAGGGCAAAATTTGTCTTGGATCCGCATTTTTCAGGTAATGAGAGACTGGTGCTTGGACATTTATTATATATATTTTATAATTATGTAAAACTTTATATACACAGTTGTGTTGGTATTAATATAAATAAAATAATACTTGACATGAGATAAAGAATTTGTTGAAATTAAAGGCATTGTAAAGATGTTTAAAAAAATCATTTTTGCAGTTTGATGAACGTTAGTATAAAGAATAGTACTCTTCCACAGATGAGAAAATCAAAGGTTTTCTATAGTTAAGGTTGTCATATGGCATTAACTATGATACACACTAACTAGCCAAGGTGGTGTGTGATGGCCTCGGGGTACGGCCAACTTTCTGGGTGGGACGACACAACACGTGAAGGATGATGGAAGCCATTAATAATACAAGGGTTATATTACCTGCAATAATGTATCACCTTTCTGTTCCTCTTATTTCCTAAAAAAAAAAAAATTGTAAATTTGTTGGAATTAAAATTGGAAATAGTAGCAGGTAATATAATCCAGTAATATACAGGTACAGTATTACTAATCATTCACGAGTCGGCAGTTGTCGTTTACATCATACCAGCGCATGCACGTTCTTGAGGACGGTACAGTAAATTATTGCATTTTGAATGTAAAGTGGTATAGTGGTATAGACAATTTTTTTTTTTTTAAATACTGTACAGTAATTACAAGCAATGAATTTAGTAGTTAACTGCAAGTTTTAACTATGCATCTGGGAGGTCACTCATCATTCATGTAGAAAGTGTCTTAGTATTGTGTAACAGGTGATAATACTAAACGTTTTCTGGTTATTATAACTAGTCTTTATGTTCAGTGGTAGTGACATACACCATCACACTTGTTTTTTCTGTTATAAATAATACATTTAGTAGTTATCATTCATTCCACTGTGAAATATGGGAGTGTAGTAGTTCAGCAGGAGATAAGTATGGGAGTGTAGTAGTCCAGCAGGAGATAAGTATGGGAGTGTAGTAGTCCAGCAGGAGATAAGTATGGGAGTGTAGTAGTCCAGCAGGAGATAAGTATGGGAGTGTAGTAGTCCAGCAGGAGATAAGTATGGGAGTGTAGTAGTTCAGCAGGAGATAAGTATGGGAGTGTAGTAGTCCAGCAGGAGATAAGTATGGGAGTGTAGTAGTTCAGCAGGAGATAAGTATGGGAGTGTAGTAGTCCAGCAGGAGATAAGTATGGGAGTGTAGTAGTCCAGCAGGAGATAAGTATGGGAGTGTAGTAGTCCAGCAGGAGATAAGTATGGGAGTGTAGTAGTCCAGCAGGAGATAAGTATGGGAGTGTAGTAGTCCAGCAGGAGATAAGTATGGGAGTGTAGTAGTCCAGCAGGAGATAAATAAGGAAAATTCAAGCAGATTAAATTTTTTGATCAATGAGTGAAACTAAGTAGAAATCCTTAATATATGTTTCTGGTGCTCTTTTTAAATATCTTTAATGCTCTGAGGCATCAAATTGGGACTGAGACATTAATTTCTATGTATAAAATTAACTTAGTTTTTTTCAATAAAATATCATTACCTTTTGCAGTTTTTGAAATAATATTTTTCATAGCCATATTTTAGCATACTGTGGTTCACCTGAATGAGATGTGATTATTTAATGTTAGATTAACTAGGAGAGTGTGCACTTAAAGTAGGTTTGTTATGAGGGCTGAGTATAGAGAGATACGAGGTAAGAGGCTGAGGCATGAGAGTGTAGGGGTGCAGCACATGGAGAATGGTGGTGGTGGAGGAAGTATGGGATGGAATACTTTGATGAATTTGGTATGGAGTGGGAATACCTTACATCAGTACGAATAAGGTGTGGGGTACATCAGTACGAATAAGGTGTGGGGTACATCAGTACGAATAAGGTGTGGGGTGAAGAAGTGTTTGGGTGAGAGGGGTTGTGTAGTATGGAGGTGTAGGATAACGGCATGCTGCTCTGCAATTGTCAGTTGGCAAATCAATAAGAAAGTATACGGTACTGTATTGGATATAGATAAATAACTATTCACTTGTGATAGAGAATAACTTGCAAGGAAATATCCATTCATTGTGGTACAGAAAATTATGTATTATATAACTATATGACTTAAATGTCATTATTTGCTAAAACATAAACATAACTTTTGTATTGTATTTGTATTGTGGTAGAATTTGTATTATAAATGAAGTGGCTCTTCTTAAATGCCTGAGTGAGCACAGGTTCTTCTTTGATGCTTGTGTGCGCAAAATGGAAAAGCTTCTTGTTTTTATTTTTGTCATTTAATTATAACTCATAATTTCAGCTAGGAATTCAAATTTCAATAACACATTATGTTAATACAGTGATGATAATACAATGGTAAGCTCTCAATGAAGGCAGTGTATTTGTGTATACAGAATCTACAGTATTTGTAATGACTCATATAAATTGATGAAACGGCAATAAATTAAAAACTTGAGTATGTGTTTTTAAAGTAGTAATTCATATCTTAACATGAATTATGAGTCTGGCTTAGTTGGCCCTGGAAGCACAAGCATCTTTAAGCACACGTGTTATGGTGTTGTGTAGAGAATATTATGATCACTTGCTCAACTTTCAGCTGGTTACCCTTATTTTTGGTTCTGCATTGTTTTTATATAGATGTGTTAAAATATAATTCATTATGATATGTTGGAATTTTGGCCTGAGGTCATGTACTGGAACTGGTTAGGTTATTCAGCGCCGTGTCTTATTATTTATTTGGGTGCTTATGATGCCCGTTATGTTGTTTGCATGCCCCCAGGAGCATAAGGTGGTGGTGCTGGTAACTTGATCCCACGTCGTGGGTTTAGTATTGTCTGTTTCTCCATAAAATCTTGTGTCTAAACTCTAATTTTTCAGTTCATAATATTTTCTTGTCTTCACATGGACATGTACAGTATCTTGAATGGTTATCTTGATATTGCATAAAAATGTCAGAGCCTAACAAAGATCAGTCTTATTGTTTGATGCCAGAGATCAAAATGTTTGGTAAAGATAGTTATGGGTCTGTATCTCTCTGTATGCCCTTATGTAAGCAGACATCATATGGTATTGTCCATCCATTTGTCTGTATGTAAACACTTCTGTTTTGGGTATGTTGTGCCGTTTGTGGTCCTTATTCACTAATGCCAGTGTCCATGCACACACACACTTACAGATGCATCAGCCTTCATCTTTTCAATACATTTTATTACAGTACAGTGGTACACCCATTAACTATATCACCATTTTCCAGATTCTTGGGTTATCCAGACATAAAACCTTTCAGTTTACCAACACCATTAACAGGAGCGTATCCTGTTAATGTGGGGTTAATACACATTGTCCGTGAAGTCTTCACATGATTTAGCAGTAGACACTTAATTATACCAGATTACACATAAATTTCATTGGTTTCCTACACATACATATTCATATTAAAATATCATTGAAGGTAGTTACACTATGATCAAATAACCCTCCACCCAAAAAGAAGAAATTACACCTCAAATCTCTTATTCTGTTATCTGAATTGTCAGTCATCAGGACATCCAGAGGTACCAGCTGGCTCTAATAATCCACATAGCACTCTATCTTTTACAGTTTGTGTCTTGCATTTAGAGAATGGTAATGGAGTTTGAATATTTTTAAATATTGAAAGTGGTAAATGCACGATTATTACTAAGGAAACATTTGCTAAAAGAATCTCCTATCAAATAACTTTTGAGTAGAAATACTTAACGATGGTAAAACTTTTTAGTAGAAACACTTAATAATGGTTGTTTGAACAGCACACTTGGTGAAAGAAATGTGTAGTTAGCCACAGTCGCTTATGTAACCACAACTGTGGTAGAAGTAAAGTGGGTGTGGCTTCTCCCATTGGTGGTTTAGTTTCTATGGCCACACAGTTGCACAACTTTACCTGCTCATATGGTTCCCTCTCCCCCCACCTTGCATTTTCAGTGACACCTATTTTTCCTTGTTACTCATTTTCCATATACTTTCTTCAGTAATGCATCTTCATTAAGGGAATTCACACATAACTCTATATAAGTAGGTAACAACTGTTTGAATGTTCATTGCAAAACCTGCTTGATGAATTCTTTGGCAAATGTTTAGAGTGCAACCTGGCTTGTACCTGGATGGGGTTCTGGGAGTTGTTCTACTGCCCAAGCCCCGCCTGAGGCCAGACTTGACTTGCGAGAGCTTATATACAAAAGTTATGTGCTCGCCAGGGCACATAACTCACCAGGGTCCCAGGTCGAAGCTGGGACCTTGTGTGTGACATGTGATAACCACTACACAACATGGCCTCAATCTTTCCTTCTTCGTAAGCCTGTTCTTGAATCTCGTCCTTTAGATTTCTGCACCCATCTCCGCCTTCCCTATAATGATCCCTTCTCTCTCTCTCTCTCTCTCTCTCTCTCTCTCTCTCTCTCTCTCTCTCTCTCTCTCTCTCTCTCTCTCTCTCTGAACTTCATTCTGCCTTAGCCCTCTGCGGTTCTACGGCGGTGGGCTTCGATGGCTTTCATTATGAGATGCTTCACTATCTCCCTCCGTGTACATCTCAGTATTTACCGAGTCTGTATAATCGGGTCTGGGAGTCGTCATCAGTCCCTGAGGACTGGCTCGACACTGTTGTCCTCCCTGTTCGGAAACCAGGGTCTCTTGGGACATCCCCTAAGGACTTCCGCCCTATTGCCCTCACGAGTTGTGTGCGCAAACTCTTTGAACGTGTGGTTAACGTTCATATGATGTAGTTCTTGGACTACTATCACCACCTCTCCTTCTCAATTTGGTTTTCGTAAGTGTCACAGGACAACAGATGTCCTGGGGAGTTTGGAGGTCTGTATTCATACTGCTTTTGCTGTGAAGACCTCTGTTGTTGCCATCTCTTTTGACCTGGAAAAGACTTACAACACCACCTGGCGATATCATATTCTGTCCCAACTTCATTCTTTTGGCCTTTGTGGTAATCTCCTCTTCTTTCTCCAAAGCTTCCTCTCTCGTCGTTCCTTTCGAGTGAGGCTTGATACCACTCTCTCGTCGTTCCTTTTTGGCAATATGAGGGTGTACCCCAAGGTAGTGTTTAGAGCGCTACTCTTTTTTTTCTAGTTGCTCTCAATGGTCTTCTTTCCTCCCTTCCTTCTGGCGTCTTCTTCGCTCTCTATGTCGACGCTCTTACCCTTTGCTGTTGGGGTGATGATTCACCTCTCCTTCAACGGCGGCTTCAACTTGCGATTGATGCCGTGTCATCTTGGGCCACCGGTCATGGCTTCAGGTTCTCTACGTCTAAGACTTGTGCTATGACTTTTACTTGGAAGCATGTCTTCTTTGTCCCTCTTTGGCGCTCTATGGTCATCCCCTTGAGTAGAAGGATTCCGCTAAGCTTTTGGGGTTAATCTTTGACACTCGTTTATCTAGGTTGCCCCATATCTCTTACCTCAGAGTTGAATGCCCTAAGGCCCTTACCCTTCTTGAGGTTATCTTGAGATGATTTCGGGGCTTTAGTGTCCCCGCGGCCCGGTCCTCGACCAGGCCTCCACCCCCCAGGAAGCAGCCCGTGACAGCTGACTAACACCCAGGTACCTATTTTACTGCTAGGTAACAGGGGCATAGGGTGAAAGAAACTCTGCCCATTGTTTCTCGCCGGCGCCTGGGATCGAACCCAGGACCACGGGATCACAAGTCCAGCGTGCTGTCCGCTTGGCCGACCGGCTCCTGTAAACCCTCCTTAAGGTTTTGTCCCATACTTCTTGAGGGAGTGGATAGGCGCACACTCCTCGCTTTACATTCCTCTCTCGTACTGTCTAAACTCGATTATGGTTGCCCTGCTTACTCGTCTGCTTCCCCGTCTACTCTTCGCCGTCTTGATGCTTTGCACCATACTGGGTTGTGCCTCGGCTCTGGTGCCTTTTGTTCGACTCCTGCCCTCAGCTTGTATGTTGACACTGGCTTCCTATCTCTCCAGGACCGCCGCGCCCAACCACTTGGGCTGGACGGTAGGGCGACAGTCTCGCTTCATGCAGGTCGGTGTTCAATCCCCGACCGTCCAAGTGGTTGGGCACCATTCCTTCCCCCCGTCCTATCTCAAATCCTTATCCTGACCCCTTCCAAGTGCTATATAGTCGAAATGGCTTGGCGCTTTCCCTTGATAACTCACTCCCTCCCTCCAGGACCGCCGTGATTGCTACTGTGTTCGCTATCTTGCGAGGTCCTTGCAAGATAGCGACAGAGGTCCATCCTTCGTCTGGCCTCTGTCGTGCCTTGACTTTTACCCCTCCTGTAGTTCCTGTTCCTCTTCATCACCTCTCTCTTTCTGTCCGGTTATCTCGTTTACAGGATTTTTTTTCAGTTCGTATTTCTAATGTCTCCTCGTATTATTCCTTCCTTGCCCCCATGGAGAGTCCTCCTTCCAAAATTTTGTGTATCCCGCATCACCCGCATCACTAAAGCTTTTACCCCTCCTACGGTTCTGAAACGCCTTTTCCTTGAGCACTTTTCTTCGCACTCCCACTGTTTCCATCTTCACCGATGGGTCTAAGTCTGCGGATGGTGTAGGCTACTCTGTTGTTTTTCCTGACCGCACTTATATGTGTCGCCTAGCTCCGGAGACTAGAATCTTCACAGCAGAACTTTATGCTATTCTCTATGCTCTTCGTCTCCTGCTTTCTCGTTGTCATTCCTCTTTTGTGGTTGTAGTTGACTCTCGTAGTGCCCTCATGGCTCTAGGTCTTTTAATCCGGTCCATCCGGTGGTCGTCGAGATTCAATATTGGCTGTTTCTTATCTCCAGTAAATTTAAATCCGTAGAGTTTTGCTGGGTTCCCAGCCATATTTGTTTCTTTAAATGGGCGTGTGGATACTGCCGCTAGGGAAGCTATCTGCTCTTGTCCCATCTCCCGTAAAGGTATTCCTTATTCCGATTTTTACCCGGTTTTTCATTCCTCCATACTTGCCCATTGGCAGGGTTGTTGGTCTTCTGTTGTTACTCTTAAGCATATTGTGTCCCCGTGGCCTTCCTCCTATCACTGTAACCAGCGGTGGGAAACGGCTCTAGCGAGGTTGCGTCTTGGCCATACACATTTAACTCACGGTCACTTAATGGAGCACCGCCCAGCTCCTTATTGTCCAAATGCATTGTCCCTCTTAGAGTCGTACATATCCTTGTTGAATGTCCTGACTTCCAGGACGAGCGCGTGTCTTGTTTTCCGACCGTCTCTTTAGGTCAATTGTCCCCCGATAGAATTCTTGGTGAATCGGATGCTGTTGATATCGTTCGCCTTATGCGTTTGTTCTCGTATTGGCATCCTTGGTGATATTAAGCGCCCTCTAATTATTCTGCACATTTGATGGTGCTACATAGCCTTCCTGGTTTGGTGCTTTCTTTTGATAATTACTTACACAACCTGGTAGGTGTTACATTTAAAGCAACATTATTATGGAGTGAGGGCAGGTC